CTAATAATATATAATATAGTGAGAGTAAAAACCCAGAACCAATTTAATGATTTACTATGATCGGTTTCCAGGTTTTCACTCTCATGCACTCATTTTTATATTTAGATGCAGTTACCTCAGAAATCGAATAAACAAAATATATCTGCACAAATCTGAACTGGATTCTGTGAAGTTTATATTAAAATTACACCCATTTGAGCATCAAATTTTAATATAGGTTATATGAATCAGCTTAATCTAAGATTCAATATTATTCATTATACTAAAACTTCGTTAGATCGAAAGCTTAATATAATAACAACTTGTACTAACTTTAATGCATATAAAGAATTGTTCATATCTCTTACTATAGCTTCTGGTTCAGTTTGTATTTCTAAGACTTTTTGGAAAGCTTAAATGGAAAACAAAATTGTAAAATTATAACAATTTATATTTAAATAGATAAGATAGAACCTAAGCCATAGAAGGTTATACAAGTTAGCACTTCATGGTACTGTATAGATGTATATACATACGTTACAAGTGTTTGACCTGGTTCTAGATTAGAGCAAATTCAGAGGTATGTGCTTAAAGAATAAAATCTCATTTTCTTCCCAATTTGGTAGGCTTTAATAAAGGCACTGATAGATTTGGTCTGTGAATAAGGGTTGAATTCACTGCGATAGTCACAGATTCAAAATAGTCTCTAAAGTAAGTATCTTTTCAATTTGTGTTTACTACTATCTTGTTAATACTTACTAATTTACTATACTTTTCTCTTCTTTTAGCTAAGTTAACATTTACTTTCAAGTTCTAATTTCAAGATTACATGTCAAAATCATGATTCCGAATCACAATGTCATGCTTTTATTTAATGATAACGTGGATCATAAAGGTAATCAATTTAATTTTTAGTATATGTATAAGGGTATGCGGTTACTAATGCAGCTTTTTTCTCTTTTCTTAATACCGAGTATCAGAGCAGCATGTCACAGAGACAAGAAAATGCAAATACAACTTTATTTCATAGAAAAATTCATAATGTATATAACTAATATTATATATCATCATTATGGGGTGCAAGTAATTATTACAACAATAATTCTTAAAATTTCAAGAATTTATACTATATTAGAAACAATAGTATTTCGGGTGGTAATTTCACTCTACGTACCACTACAACATACGTACATATTTAATGTGAATTATCACCCAATTGTTGGGCAATAATTTCATCTACATTATATTTACCTTCTTGCATGTCATTATTATCAGACACGATTTCATTAAACTCTTGACTTTCATACCGATTTTCAGAATATATAAAAACTGAAGAATGAAGATCAATAAAATTTGAAACATTTAAGTTTAAATCTGGTTCATCAGAATAAAGATCTTTGGTAGGATTAGACAATTCTGTATTTTCTTCATCTGCTAATGTTTCTTCTTCAAGTTTTTTAAAAACTGTTTCTGCGATATTTGTCATTATTTCAGGAGTTACTTCAGTAGTTTGAGTATGACGAAGTTGGTCTATAGGATTTGATAAATTAAATCGATAAACTTTTGCTAATCCTTCTAGCCGATCTACATCTAAACGAATTCGGTGACTTCCATAAATC